CTCTTCCTCAGTGTGGCGAAGGTCTTTGATAAAGTCTAGCACAACGGGCTCATGTACAAGTTATACGAGAACGGAGTGCCAGATTGTCTCGTATATACGAAACTTCCTAAGGGATCGAATCGGTATCACGTTGAGAGGATGTGCTCTACAATGCATCCCGTTCGAGCCGGGGTGCCTGAAGGGTTGGTGTTGTGCCCAGTTCTTTTTACGCTCTACTACACAAACGACATACCGCATGTCTAAGATGTAGAGATGTGCCCTCTTTGCTGCTGACGCCTTTCTCTATACGTGAGACAGAAATGATCCAGCGATGCCTCCAGGCCGCAGCCATCACTATCGGTGACTGGTTTCGGCAATGGAGGATCAAGATCAATCCCGCAAAAAGCACAGCCATCTACTTCTCGCACAAAAAGTGCCCAACCCCATACCCATTAAACTCATGGATACTCCTGTATGATGGGTGAATAAAGTGTAATACCCAAGTGTTGCCCTTGAATCTAAACTCAACTTCACTCAGCACGTGACTTGGGTCAAGAATTGGGTGACCTTCGTAATCGGTCACCTTTATCCTGTAATAAATTTAACTTCAAAAATGGCGCTTTGGCCCAAGGTGACTTTATATAAGGCAGTAGTAGCTCGCACTATAATGACGAACGCAAGTCCGATTTTCGCGCACATTGCTCCGAAGCAAATACTACAATACACCGGCTTCAGGTCATCCCAAATCGCAGAGCATTTTTGCGCAGAGACGGGAGCACCGTGGTTCGTGAGCAACATCAACTTGCATGTAGATCTATAGCTGCCCACCATCGCTCGCCGGCGAGGGCAGCAAAGATATACTATGTTTGTTGTCCCAAAGTGTGTAATTTGCGCTGTTAAACATTTATTATAACAACAGACTTAACACTAACAATACTTCACTGTTGTGTAAGCAGTTAGCAGGCCGTATTTTTTTTTTGTGAAGTAAATATTCTACCAATCCGTTAGTCGTAGGTGCCGTTACCTACAGACCTCTACCGCAAGGTAGGTTCCGCTGCCATAGGTGTAGACCGCAACACTTCCTCGATTTCTCTGACGATGAGACGACTGACGCCGTCGACAGTATTAAACAATTACGCAAACACACCAAAACACACTGCACTCGCCGACGAGTGCGGCAATCATATACTACATTCCGCCACGTACCTGGCAGGTTCTCCCCCATTAACGTTAGAAGCGTTGCTGGAGTTTCAAAATTCTTCTAGACAGACCACAGCTACCAATCGAGCCGAGGTTCAGCCCTCTCGGACACCCTCGAATCGAAATGCTAAACGGGTATTGAGTGACGGCTTGGCATAAGCGGAGCATCCTAAAAAAAAGAATAAACATTCTGGGCTTAAAATGCAGTAAGAAATAATCAAGTCACTGGACTTATAACAGTCTTAGGATTGTCGGACTGTAATTATGATTTGTGATAATATATGTAATGTACGGAATATCAATTCCGTAGAATTTGTTTGTGTTTGTAATAAAAATTGACTTATTTATTGTAAATAAGACATGATTACCATCCATCATAATACTACTTATCTATTCTTCTAAACTGTCATTACGATAATAACTGTTTGAAAACTCTATACTATATTTGTCCTAAAATTGTTAATTGATTGTTTAACTACGAATTGATAATTAATCCCTTTAAATGGACCGTATACTGCACTCATCTTTAGTTCTCATCTGTATCTAGTTCAAGAATATACTGCTATCTGTTTATCGACAGACTTCGTTTTTTCTCGCCTTGCCTCCCTGTGACTCCCTGTGAGGTGTTTGCGAATTATAAATAGGTGTCATAAGTGGAAAGCGGTTAAAAGGAACATTCTCAAAGTAAAAGTGTAAATGTGCGGTCCGGTCAGTGTAATAATAAAAAGTCTGTTTTATTCACCAACAGTCACTATTGTACCGTGAGTAACATAGCTAGTTAAAAATTGGTATAACTCGTGATTTGATCTCTGATCAATCACGTACCTGAAAATTACGTTGTCTGGCTCGACAGGCTGAGTAACGTCGGGTGTCTTTAAGAAGCACTGGTCTGAGTTTAACTATAACATTATCGAAATACTGACAGTTAAAAAATTTAAATACTAAAAGTTGGTTTATTCACTGGTAGATTGTTCTCCAACTGTTTTAACTTTGAACAAATACAATTTCATCAAAAATTAAATGGTAATTAAGAAATACTTCCAAATAAGAAAATCAACAATAAGTACGACAAAAAAAATAGGAATATGCACCCAATCCATAAAGAATGATAGACCAATCACAATCACTCGCCCGCTGCCCCCTTAATAGGGCTTACTCCTCCTAATAGTTAAAAATTCACTGCGTACAGCGCCTTAAGATTTGTTGATGTATTATTACGTTCATTTTGGGATTTGAATTTCTCTTTTAGAGGTAGTTTCATGAATTTTTCTATCGAGAAAATGTTTTGAAAACTATGTGACATTAGAATGTAAGATCAAGATTAACAACATACTTTTTGTTGCTATAAAATGTACAGATTTTGTTACAGCTATGTTTGAAAAAACTATTTTTACTGAATACAGCGCCTAAGGGCAGAAAAAGAAGTTTCATAATAAGACACAATGGCTCAATTTAGAAAATTCATGAAGATAATAAATTTATTGACAATAATTTGATAATTTTTGTAAATAATTATTGATATAGTTTGCATTGTAACATCTTCAACAATTTTATTACTATAAAAATATAAAAAATACATGTCTAATCTCAAAACAAAGAAAACCGAGGCATATAAATCCATTCGCTCCAAAAAAATGTGGTAATTGTTATTACTGACCCCGACGTGATTTGAAAACACAACCTTCTGATAATTTCAGCCATGTAGTTTGTAGTGTTTGTATTGTAACCTCTTCAACAATTTCAAATTCAACATAATATGGGGCTGCATTGTAATATTACAAAAATACCGTTTTTATTGGGTGTACATGTAAACCGCCACACTTTTCACTAAAAAAATAATGCTTTGATGTACTTAAATATTTTAAATGTGTTACTCTCACAATGACACATGTTTTGTACTTATCTGTCATATTAGTAGCAACCTAATTACGTAGTTACATTACACGAAAATCGCCAAGCATGTAACCTACTTAAAGACGCACACGGCGGAGCCTCGAATTACGTAGTTACATTCCACGAAAATCGCCAAGTATGTAACTTACTTAAAGACGCACACAACGGAGCCGCGTGTCACGAGGCGCCGAGTCAGCAGGCGCCGACAACTAGACGCCCGTGCAAGTTCGCATCGAATTTTCGACACTCTTCGGTCACACTTCGACCAAGCTAGTCTCTTTACTTTAGTTATAGAATTATTGTAATCTTTTTTTTATTAAATTAATATTTTACGAATTGGTTTTTTCAAGTCCTGCGGCTGCAGCTAACGTAATTACCTTAATAATATTTTTACTACCTCTACAATAATAATGATTTTTTTTATTCACAGGTGGAATGAACAATTACTCAAAAATGGGTGATCAATATAAATATGGTATGAATTATATATGTATATATATATATATATATGATATATATATATATATATATATATATATATATATATATATATATATATATATATATATATATATATATATATCTATATATATATATCTATATATATATATATATATATATATATATATATATATGTATATAAAACAAATACTAGTAGAAATTAACATAACATTTCCTTTGTTTTAGATACTATTACTAGAATGAAAAAATATAATTTTCATCTCCCAATAAGTACTTCCATACTTTATGAGGATAATGAAAAAGAACCAAATGAAGTGATAGACCTCCAAGACAACAATTTGAAAATTGCAAATTTACAAACAGAAAGTCATAATTTAGATTTGACTGTGCATCAGCAACATTTATATACATATAGAAATAGGTCAACAAGTTGTTCAGAAATAAATCCTTATCACAGATTGTATAGTGATGATGTTAGAGTTTCAAAGCAAAACTCAAATTTTTGTCAAAAATACACAGTATGTAAAAATACTGAAACTAGGAACCCGTATATTAAAAAACCATATACAAATAGCAAGAAAGTACACTTAAATAATAACTCTAAAGAAGAGAGTTCAGTTTTATGTAATGCGCAAATCAATGAAAAAATTCCGGTCTACCAAGTTGCAATCAATTTGGCTTTAATAGTGAAAGCTTACATGAACTACGGTAAACTTACTTTCGGATGTGGTAATAAGCAGTATACAGCTCGAATAAGAGACAAGTATTTACGCGTGAAATATTTCTACTTAAATAAGTCTTTGTCAATATCAGAAAAATGTCTTCTACAACATGAAAATAATCAACAATTCATCAAAAATCTTTTGCACAAAGTAGTAGATCTTTCAAAAATCACACCTCATGAATTCCCTTACAATTATCTTATGAACCTCTACAATGATCTATTAAAATGGACTAAGTTCAAAAAACACCAATTGACAAATAATGTTCCAGAAAATTTAAGACCTTCTGGAATTTCACCTGCTGAGATGTCACTGCCAAATGTTGATCATAGTTCAGAAAACGGTGATTATAATATGCGTACAAGAAAAATTTTTTCATGTGGGCAACCTGGAAGCCAAATTACAATAAGTGTCGATCCAACGATCATTGCACAATACAGAAACACATTTGATGCTCAAAATCAATCGGCTTGTCCAACTAAAATAAATGATTCCGATCAGAATTTTATTAACTTTGCTAAAATTGATTCAACTAATATGAGGATGGAAAATAATCTGACACAGCATATTTCACATACAAATATCTCTACCATCGATGATATTAACAGACAGAATCTGCAATCGACACATCCAAGAGTACCATTTGATTCGGGTTCCATGTATGTCACTGAAAATGATAAATGTATGCTAAATAATGACACGCAAAAATGCGGTTACAATACCATGTTTACAGAAGGTATACAAATGAATCTTCAAGACACTACAAGAAGTTCAATATCCAGAGATAGTGGATTTACTAGTCCAGTAACGTCGGGTTCGCCTTCAGAACACATGGTATTTTGAATTTCTTGTTAATCTTTTTATTTCTTTAAATCGTTACAATTGTAACATTTGTTTTAAATATGACATTTCACTTACAGTACAATACCGTTCAACAGCAATCTTCTCAATACGCAATAGATACTTCAGCTTTGCAAATGCCAAACACGACTACAACTACAATCGAACCAGATTTTGCCCAAGAAATATCATGTGCCTGGAAAAGTATTGAACCTTATCTGTGAGGTACTCCTTATCCTTCCTTAATATTTACTATTGGCAAGTAACGTTAGACGTGTGTTCATTTATTGTCCCGATGGTAACGACACGCTGTATATCTATATATATATATATATATAGATATATATATATATATATATATATATATATATATATATATATATATATATATATATATATATATATATATATATATATATATATATATATATATATACCTATATATATTGTATTGTACAATAATGTAGCTTAAACATAATTGTTTTATTTTTCAGCTTAATGGATGGCCATTGATCAATACGCTTCACAGTTGTACAACTACCAACCTATAGTTAGATAACTTTAACGGAGTATATACCCGTTAATAGTGAGCTTGTATCACAGAATAAATTACGCGTAGTAGTAACCAAGCATAAACCAGTCAGTGTAAAAGAAAACTATTTTTGGGATGATTTTAATCATTGTAAATAAAATTTTGATTAATGTTTGAAAAATACACAAAGTACAAACAATCCACAGACTTTCATTTTATGAAAATTGAACTCGGTGAACAGGTATGAGATATGACATTTATGATAATGAAAACCGTATTAATGGACTGAATGTTGTGCTAATAAGTTGATTAGTAATAGTAATTGCTAAGTGTTTCTTCTGGAATAATATTTCTACAAAAGAAGACTACAGATCCGCAATCTCAGATAAATATATATAAACATAATTTAGGTCTGTCTGTCTGTCGCATTTGCGAAAAGTTGCCAAAAAAGGCCCAAAACCACACAGGCCACACTACAAACCCTCTTATTTCGCCGCGGATTAATCTTTGGCTGTACATATGTTAAACACAATAAATGTCGAGGAACCTAGTATTTTGGCTAACAAAATCCGCAAACTAATAAACCCACTGGAAAAGCTTTGTGCTATAGGCTCTAATGAAAGTCATCTGGTTGTCTACGGGTTTAAATAATAAGCGTGCCATAAAACTGAATCCGCTGTTTTATGATGACTAGCCCAGCAGGTAGGTACATTAAACCTCGGTGTCTGATTATTTCTTATTTTAACGCAAACGTAACAAGGGTCGGTAGGATGAAATAGCGCACTATTTACCCGAGTATAATTAAATTTGTTGAGATTCAGTGATAGAACAGAAAGAGCCGACAATAACCTATATCGAACTAAATCCGACTGAGTGAAATCGTTGATAAAACATCGAAGAAAGAAACAATTGATCGAAGAAAGAAAGAAACCGTCTCTTTACTACGGCAGGACGTCAAGCATCGCATTCTTCCTACTAGTAGTTCGACTGTAGTGGAAAGTGGGACACCGAGAATTCATATCGCAGTTAATCGAGCCTGATGAGCTTTCGAATTTACGCTGATAAATATGAACACCAAGCAGGCAACTTACAGTTATACACCATCACATCGACCTCCTTCACCTAAAGGAGATAGACCATATAATCAAACTGCGGTATCACTAACAGGCGAACTTTGTGACCTTTACTAGGTAAAGATTTAATATCGCGTACTGCTCCATATCAAGACCGAACCAATTTCTTTAACGGTAACAATTTTCAACGTCACTTCTCACTACTTGCCCGTTCGTCTCGGGATCGTCGGCACAAGAAGAATGAAAAAGTAGTAAGTACTAAAGTAACAGCCTACACGAGTCACTACTGGCCAAAACCCTCCTACAGAGAAGCAGGGATTGGCTGACTTCTTCAAAATATTTTTTTCATTATTTCGAAACTATGCAACACCCACACGATGTTTTAGTGACTGCTGAGAAGGTCATGAATTAGTACCTAGAATTAACAATTTAATTGGTGCTGGCACCAGGATGATTTTTTTGTGTTTTCACCTAATGGCAAGTGATTACCGCCATCCATGAACACCTGCAAAACCCGAGCGCTTACAAATTTGTCGGCCATTTAGGTAAGGGTATGCTCTCTTCTTGAAGGTTCCCAGGTCGTAACGGTTTGGAAAGACCGCCAGCGGCAGCTGGCTCCACAGAATGGTTGCGCGAGGGAGGATATTGTGCCTTGAAAATCGCGCTGTTGTGGAACGTTGGACATTAAGCCTTTTTTTTTTGCTTCTTTTTTGAAATTGCCCTGATTTTAGGATAACATTATCCTGTGTTGTAAGGATGTTTTAGAAAAATAAAGTGAACAAACACCCAGATTCGAAACAACTATCTGTGGATCACACAAATAGTTGTCCCGTGTGGGAATCGAACCCACGAGCCCCGACTCCTAAGCCAATACCTTGGCAAACTGCGCCACGGAGTCATCAACCTAGGCTTAGTTTAGTTCAAGCGATTACGACGGGCGCGGTCGCGGGAATGAATTTTGCGAGCGCGATTTTCGCTGGTGCGATTTTTGCGGGCGCTTAGTGATAGTTATTTCGTAGCTGGGCGTTTGTCCATGTGAAATTTATGTTCATAGAACGTCATTACCACACAGGATCCTAAAGTACTATACTAAGTATTATCCTAAAGTTGAGGAAAAGTATTTTAAAAAAATAATATTAAGGATTTTAGTGCCTTTCTCAAAAAAGTTACACTTTCTTAATTTCAAAAAAGAGAAAAAGTTGCAAAATTATTTCGTAGCTTATCATAAATATTATCAGAATTGTACCTGATGTTTAAGGTGTCTTTTTTTGTAAATTTATTAATTTCTAATTGTATAAAGTGTATAATATGAATGACTCAGCTGTCAAACGATTAAGACTACAAACGTCGCTGCCTCAAATAAAATCCGTTCATACATGCATATTGACATAAGCATAAACATTAATTGATTGATGAATTTAACTAGTTGAGGAAAAAACCTTCAACGCTAATTTTCGTCGCTTACTCGTTAGGATGGAATTTAACGTGCAGAACATGACCGGTCACAATACGAGAACTTCAGAATGCAGTTTCGGTTTTTTTATGTGAGAAAGTGCCAAACCGGTGACATTTGCAACACGCGTAGGGTTGCAGATGCGTTGCCACTTAATGAAGTAGGACCCGGCTACCTCACTCACCAGACGAAACGCAGAAGTGTAACACGTCTACTTGACGCCGGTCCTCTATAAGGTTGTGGTACTAACCCGGACGGACGTGCCCATTCGTGCAACGGCAAATACTGTTGCGTGGCCACCGAATAATTTGGGCATAGTTTCGGCACTATTGCCGCCGAAACCGAAACCAAACCGATTATTTTTTTGCCGAAACTCGACCGAAACCGATCTTTCGGTCGGAAACTACTTACTTTACCTAGTCCGGGAATATACTACATATATTAATATAATAAAGGCGAAAGTTTGTATGTATGGATAGATGTTTGTTACTCTTTCACGCAAATACTACTGAATGGATTTTAATGAAACTTTACAATAATATACCTTATACATAAGAATAACACAAAGGCTATAATTTATATACATATTTTATTATCAGGATCTATCAGTTTGAATTTTATTTAATTTTTTATTTTTTGCAACTCAGTTCGTAACGTCACAGCTGTCATCTGTCACCTCGAATACTATTGAACGGCGGTTGACACTTGACAGTTCATAAACAGGGGACGGGGCCCGGGGGGTTTGTCGGGCGGTGCTCGGACGAAAAGGTCCTATGTGCACGTTGCGGAATTTAGTCGTTAGTTAAAACTAACTGGGCCCCTAGCCAAGTGGCAATCGCTCCCTGTCGATTCGATATCGAAAATTGTTAACGCTTAGTCGATATCGATCGCTAAGTGGTAGACAAAGTTATGTCAGTGAAACGAACGACAAGTCGAAGCGTTCATTCGTAAATTGAACTTTTTGGCTATGGATTCGTAATGAAACGTCAAATTCAAGATGTCAATTCTATCAACCGGGCCAGTGATGCCAACTTAGGAATTTTCTCCCCAACTTTAGGAAGAAAAAATGTAGGATGAAAGTTTTTTTAGGAAGTTCTTTGGGAATATTTTAGGACTTAGATTTTATTCGAATTAAAAAAAACTGCACATAAACACTTATTTTAAACCAAAAAATATAATTTAATAGTGCTGTGCTGCTTTGGTGGACGTTAGGCCAAGGCATATTTTTGTATCTTATGTATATTATAAACTCTTCCGCTCTAAACTATTATATAATATTGAATGTAAGTCTTACTGAAAACAAAAAATATAACAATATATAAACTAATTATAAACAATAATTGGCTTGTTGTTAATAATAAATTTTACTCAGTGTGTGTAATTATCTACATTGGTTTTAAAATTAAATGTTTAATTAGAAGATTCATAAGTAAGTTATGGAACATAGTTAATTAATTGGAAGTTTTAAAATTATGTATTTTTATTCAAAAAACAAAAGAGACGCGAAAATTAATGAAAACGACACCGACAGCCTAAATAACAATCAGACATTTTAAATTTTTTTTGCTTTTCTACAGGGTCAAAGAGTTCGCTAAGTTGTCGATCAATCGATTCGATATCTCAGCGATTTCGCTTGTCAAGAGGGCCACTTGTCTACGCATTTGTATGGGAATATCGAACGAGTCATTATTTTTCGTCATCGTTTCGTCACGCGATTTGACATTGTCTGCCACTTACCGATCGAAAACGTTTGATCACGAGATATTTCGAGGGCTTATGTCAGTTCCATACATTTCTGATTTATCTAACTTCGCTTTCGGTAACGAAAATGTGACTTTGTCAAGGCCCCCTGTTTTATAGTTTGTGACATTTGGGAGTTGATTGCTTCCTTCTTAATTTCGATTTTAATTTGGTTAGATTTAATTAGTAAACTGTGATTAATGTTAATTTAATTTAATATAAAGAGATTGTTTGTGATTTTATCCTTTTTTTTTAAATATTTTCCACTTTCCTAAAATTATGTATATCTGTCTTTCTGTCTTAAAGATACACCTTAAGCCTATTCTACGCATACGTAGTTGCGGGCAGCAGCTAATACTAGATATAGTATAGTACCTAGCCCGGCTGCTTTTTAAATTGTTTATAATGATTTTCTTTAATTTT